GAAAGTTTGAAAGAATGTATCGTATACTCCATTAGCTTCAAATGAACTTTTTATATGATTCCAATTTATTAAAGATAATTGATCCTTAAACGGTGCTAGATTTGCATCGGTGAAAAAGCGTTTGATAATGACTTTTTTATGTTGTTGTATTAATTTGCTGTCAATATTAATAGAGAAAAAAATAGGGAAGTGGTTGGAAACGTCACTTTTTATTATACCTTTTTTATGAGTTTCATTAAAGATATCGGTTGTTATAATGTTGTCAATTAAGGTAGCTGAAGTTGAGGTAACTCTAGTAGGTTTGTTAATTAGTGGAATTTCTCCATGTTCAAATAAGTTATCGTAAAACATTTTAATGTTGCAATCAACGTAATATTCAAAACAATTTAAATTCACGTCACCAATCAGATAATTTAGTTTCTTTTCCTTAAAACTATTTTTTAAAATATCATTACACAAAAATGCATTAAAACTTTCAATATAGCCAGATGGTGGGCGATAACAGCAGCTTATAAGTATGTTTTTAGAACTATTGGTTAAAATTTCAATTGTTAAAATTTCTTTACTGTCATCAGAAATATTTATCTCAGGCCTAGTAAAAAACCTCAAATATTCCGTTATATAAAAAAGTACACCACCTCCGCGTCGTCATTTAGTTGTTTTAATATATGAAGTGTTAATTGCGAAATATGAAAATGTTGCGGAGATGTTAGTGGAGACTTTAAAAAAAAACACAATGAACGGAAATATGCCATTAAAGTCATAGCCCCAATAGCGGGCTGATGTATGTTAATATATATAATGTATGTTAATATATATTACTTGATTTATTATAGAGTCTTTATTATCTTGTAAAAGAAGGTAAACAAAACCTAAATTACAAATCAATATTAGATTACCTTTATGTTTACGGTTATCAAAATAATGTTGTTGAGGCCTATCATCAAGAAACAGAAGAGGTGCATTACAGTCACATTTATAATGAGGTAATTGATACAACCAAAAAATAAATGGTTTTAGCTATTGTTGCATTTTCGAATATTGAAGCACTGCTTTTTAATTTTTTAACAAGCATTAATGCTTACGGAATTCTAGGTGAATCATTTGCATTTAACATTATATTCAAGTTAGTCACTAACATGTTAGTTAAAGTCACTTTGATGATATTTTACATTATACCTGTATCATTCCAGAAATGAATAACCTATTTCAAATTTTTTTAACATAGTTAATTAAATTTGAATGAAAACATCTTGCACTGATGGCCTGTGGCCTACGGTGACTAATGTGTGCATTCGATCAATTGAAATCCATTCTGTAGGTCTCACGTCTGGCTCTGATGTGCTAGCCCATAAGCGCAAGGAGTGAGTGTGTTTAGCTTTCTATTCACCCAATTTGAAAGTGAACGAAGACATAACAAGACCATATTAGACAACCAAAACATAATTTAACAAACATTAATGCTTACGGAATTCTAGGTGAATCATTTGCATTTAACATTATATTCAAGTTAGTCACTAACATGTTAGTTAAAGTCACTTTGATGATATTTTACATTATATCTGTACCATTCCAGAAATGAATAACCTTTTTCAAATTTTTTTAATATAGTTAATTAAATTTGAATGAAAACATCTTGCACTTCAGATAGCGATTCCACGGCGTTACGAAAAACATTTGACGTTTGACCAAAAACACCGAATTTTCATAAACTTTACTCTCATATCTTTTTGTACGGTTAAACCATCACCTTGGGGTTTTTCGCACCCTCAACCTCTTTCCAGCCATATATATTGTTTCAGAAATGAATAATCTATTTGAAATTTTTTTAATATAGTTAATTTAATTTGAATGAAAACTTTGTGCACTTCAGATAGCGATTCCACGGCGCTACGAAAAATATTTGACGTTTGAAAAAAAATACCGAAGTTTCATAAATTTTACTCTCTTATATCTTTTTGTACGGTTAAGTCATCACCTTGGGGTTTTTCGCGTCAGTTAGTGTTACTCAACTTCTTTCCAGCCATATATAGAAAGTACTATACTTTAATTGGCTTCACCTAAATATTATCAATAACTTGAGACCACTTTTGCTGAAAAAAGATCCCGTGGACACGTTTTTTCAAAAGTAGCTTTTGAAGATAAGATCTCATAAGTACTAAAACACATTCAACTTGCATAAAAATTTTCATTTAGATTAAAAAAAGGATGAGGAATCGAATGGAAAGGGGAAACTTTTTCAAATTTATACAAAAAGTTCTCATTTAAAAACTTTAAGGTCAATTTAGTAACTTTTTTGAAAAAGGTTCCCTGTCCAAAACGCTACTATAGCCCTTCCTTTCTCTAAATCAAGTATTTATTTATGTATTCTTGAAGATTTGATGCTTAGTAGTTTTGTTTTAAAATTATGTATGTATTATATGCTATTTTTCCCGTACTTTATGAAGTTTTTTGTTTTGATTTTTGCGTTTGTTTACTAAGTTATAAATAAATTTTTGCGTTTGCTATACTGTAAACCGGGATAAAAACATCATTAAATTTCATACCGTAAACCGGCGTAACTTTGGCCTGCGGGGTAACTTTGGCCAGCAAGGTAACCTTGGCCAATATTTAAAAATTTTAATTAAACAAAAAGTTACAGGTTTAAATTTAATCTGTAACTTTAAAACAGTTAAGTAACGTTTTACAATTTAAAATAGTAAAACGTTACTTTACTGTTTAAAAATTACAGTTGTTTAATTAAAATTTTTAAAAAATAGCCAAAGTTACCCCGCTGGCCAAAGTTACGCCAGTTTATGGTATGAAATTTGATGATGTTTTTTTTCTTCACTTAATTAGAAACTTAAATATTAGCTAAATTATTTAGCTAATATTTATAAAAAAAAATCCTTATTAAAGATTATTTCTTATTCACACCCTTAAATTAAGCCTTAATAAGGATACGAATAAAAAATAATCCTTATTAAGCATTAATAAGGATTATTTCTTATTCACATCCTTATTAAGATTTAATTTAAAATTGTGAATAAGAAAAGTGCAGTTAAAAAAGGTTTCATGGATGATCCACAAGTAAAAGACACAATTAATAGTTACATTCCTGGTGGATTTGGATAATTTTTATGTTCTTTTTTAAATTTTTTTTCTTATTTATACTTTTTTAGCAACATGTCTTTTTTGAAACTTTGAAACACTTTTTCTCATTAATTCTGCCTAATGATAAAATTTTCAGGACTTGTTTAATACATTATATTTATTTTGACCTTCATATTTTAAATGCAAAGATATTAAAGATGAAATATTTTTAAAGTGTAAAAAATATAGTTTAAAGTGTTAAAATTACTAATATTTTATATAAATGTGGAGTGATTTTGTTAAAAATGCAATAATTTTTGAAACAATTTGAATAACAAAAATTCTCACGGTCAAGCAGGATAAAATATGCTAAGGAAACTTTGAAGTTTTGCTTAAAACACAGCTTTTACAATATGTTTTCAGCCATTATGAATTTTTTTTTTCAACAAAAAAATTTTGATATGTTTTTTTTTATAAGTTTTATTTCCTCAAATAAAGTTATTAAAATTTACAATAACTAAAAAAACCCTGCTTTCAGTTGTGTATCACCTTAAATTAGCACCATTCGGTCTATATATACACCCTATAAGCATATGTTTATTGTGGATGTATAGCTTTCTATATTACGAGGTGGATGTGTAGCTTTCTACATTACTGACATATTAAGAGGTAAATGTCAGTAATGCAAAAAGTTACACATCCACCTCGACGTCTTTCTAAGCAATCTTAACCATATAAGTTATACCCATCAGTATTTGGAGTCATTCAAAAATTATGTTTTGGAGCAAAGACTGGAGTGAGAACGAAGTTAAATTTTACAATAATTAGTTTAGAAGACTTAGATTTAAAACGTTTAAAAAGCTTTGGTTTTACAGTGAGACGATAGTAGGAAAGATGTTCTGAACCATTTCCATTTGGTTTTGACGTTAACTTGGTTTTCTGCATCTGATAAATCAGCAGATCATTTTTTCCTCGCTTCTTTTTTGTTGTCATTTCATTTTGTTGTCATTGTTCCTTTAATAGCGAATTGGTTGATAGTTAGTTATTCAATGAGTTTTACTATGTTTTTGCTTGCAACTGAAACCCAACTAGACGAGCTTACCTATTTTTAGTTATTGTGGCTTTATAATTTATTTTAGCTCTAATATTTTGGCCGACCAAGCTTTAAGTTGTATAAGTTATATAATTTATAAGTTGTATAACTGCGTCTTCGGCTTGTTTTGAGTTAGTGTTGAACCAGTCTTTTTTTTTTAGTACATATCCGTGATATTTTTTATATTTTTACACTCACTAATTATTGTATAAATAATTTAATAGGATTTTAAAATAAAAATTTATAAAAATATTCTAAACAATTTGTTAAGCATGGCAAAAAAACCATCATAATTCATTAAAATAAGGTAACCTCTCTACAACAACAATTGGTTTCGTAAAATGAAACTTTACAAAAAAAGTCTATCAAACCTAAAAAGTTAAAAAAAAGGTACTTTTTAACTTTTTAAATTTGATAAACTTTTTACAATTTTTAAAATAATTGTTATTAAATAAGTCTTTTTTTTTTAAATTAAATCACAATTATCAAAATTATTTAAAAATAATTAAAAGAACACTTATCTCATCAATTAAAGTTAATTTTTTACTATAGGTTTACAAAAAATGTGTATAAATTAGTAGTAAAACAGTCCACAATTGTTTTTATCGCCATTTTGTTGTGGCATTCACTAAGCAGTATGAATTTTATGCATTTGTTACATTTGTTGCAAACCTAATTGTGTTTATTATGTTCTGAAAACCTGTTTTAACGTCTTTATTTATATTATTTAATGATTGGGGAAAAAATTATACATTTAAAGTTGAATCAAATTCATTTTTTTATACAAATGTATAACGAAATGGTATATGGGCAGACAAAAATAAAATTCACTTTATCTGTAATTATTCAACAATAGTAAAACGTCATCTTTCATTTTTATATTATTACCAAAATAATATAAAAAGGATAAAATCAAAAACTTTAGAAAGTGAAGTTACTATAAGCAATACTTTGTAATTACAACTTTTAAACAATGATTTTCATGTTAGGCTTTAAAAATCTAATAATGTTGATGTTAGGCTTTCAAGGCGCATAAAAATATTTTCCACAATTTTTTGACATTGGCATTAATAAACGCATAAAAACGCAAAACGATAATCGAAAAAAACTTTCAAAAGACAAATTAAAGAGAATAAAAATAGAATAAAAAAGAACTAAACAAATAAACAAACAAAAAAACTATGCAACATTATGAATCTCAGAGATTTTTTTGAATAAATAAATTTATAATTAAGAAAATAAATTTCTTATATTAGAAATATTGTCATTTATTAATAATTGACAAAGAACTTATGTTGATAATAGATAGAAAATGCTTTGTCGTAAATAGATAATAATAAAAAAAAAAAACTCTTTTAACGAGTTTTTTTGATATCAGGTCACTGACAAATTCATATTCTATGAAAAAGATGATTTTTGTCTTTTTGTTTATATAAAACAAAAAAGCAAGTGTCGTCATTTTAAGAATAATGTAAAAAGTATAAATTTTACTATCAGTTAGGTTTAAATATAATCATAATTAATTGTTACTAGTTCGGCTACGTTTTCGTCGCCTTATATAGTCCTCAGGCGACGCAATTCGTTTTTGAAAAGGCTTCGACGTATGCTTTTCGATATTTATAGAATAGTTTGCTTCTTCCAAAACCTCATTAAAATCTTGCACTAAAATAACTTTGGCAAAAGATTTAACAGCTTTAACCAACATTTTCGGTGTTGATTGTTGTTTCGGTTGATCTTCTTTGTCATATTGAATATACTGCGAATTTTTTAAGCAAGACTCGGGCGAGTTTAAATAATGTCCAGCTTTACCAGATTCAGCAAATATCCTGCGAGGAAAATAACTTTCTGATAAAACTTCGTATTCACTACTTACTATAGAAGTATTGGCTAAATTTGCTGCATTTTCAGATAACTCGCTAAAACAACTGTCTCTTCTTTTGAAAATTTTAGATGGTGTTATTTTTTCGTCATAAATTTCGTTTTGATTTGGCTGTGCACTTAATATTGGAGGCTTTTCATAAAGTTCTTCATCACATATATTTTGAAAAGATTTAGGAAAGTTCATATTTCTTATTTCTGAAACAAAAAGAGATTCAAGAGAAGTCTGATTTATATTATCAGCTTGATTCTCCAGGCCTATCTCACTATCAAACAGATTCATAAAATTTTCTTTTTCATCTGCTTTAGATATATTTTCTTTTAACCTGATTGATTTAACTTCTTTAAAACTATCTCCTACATTTAAGAGTGAAAATCCTTCGCAAGTGCGTCCAGATGGATTATTCAAAGCAACTGTGCACTCATTATTTGACTTTGGATAGATGCATTTTTTTTCATCATTCTTTAGAGCATTGCAAAAAAAACACTCATTGTTGAGTTGGTGCTGACATTGACAACTTTCGATGACTTCTTTATTTTCTCTATTTGAGAAGAAGCTCAATTGAAGATTGTTGGTATCAAAAGTTAGACGTTTTTTAGGTTGAGAGTCATCGCAAATACTTTTATAATTTTTAAGATGAGTGTCGTCGCAAATATTTTTAACAATAGTTTTTTGATTTAGATCGACTTCTTCGATTGAGCTATTTTTTTCTTTTAAAACTGACCTACAAAAACATTAAAATTATTTAGTAGTGTGTGTGTGTGTGTGTGTGCGTGCATGTGTGTGTGTGTGTGTCTATATATATATACATATATATATATATATATATATATATATATATATATATATATATATATATATATATATATATATATATATATATATATATATATATATATATATATATATATATATATATATAAGGGTGGTCCTTAAAACAACTTTTTAAAAAAATGTCTGCTCAACCACTCAAAATGTGTTCTATATAACAAAATAATACCAGAATTGAAAAATTTTCAACAAAAAAATATTTTAAGAAGTAGATCAAGGCATTTTTATAAAAAAGTTTTATTATAATTTTTTTTTTCTAAATGTTTTTTATAAAATGATGACAATTTTTGAAGTTTTTATATAATTTTGCTTCTTTTGAGACCTAACATGATATACTTTTGATAATTATACGGACCCATATGATGTTTAAGGTCTTAAGCTACCCCTAAAAATATTTTTTTTTGAAAATTTTTCAATTCTAGTATTATTTTATTATATAGAACACATGAGTTGAGCTGAGCAGACATTTAAAAAAAAATTTGAGTGGAGCAGAGATTTAAAAAAAATTTGTTTTAAGGACCACCCTTATATATATATATATATATATATATATATATATATATATATATATATATATATATATATATATATATATATATATATATATATATATATATATATATATATACACACACATATAGAAACACACACACTTATAGACACACACACACTGTATATTCTCTACTCAGAATTTTTTTATTACTTAAGCACTCTGGTAGTGCATTACCAGGTGCAAATTTTAATTCTAAACAAAACTGAGTCAATGTTAATTACAAAATAAACAATTAGACATGTCTATTTAAAAAATTAACTAAAGTTAAGCATGTCTATACAATTAGACATAAACATGATGAGAAAATATAAAACTCTATATCTAAATAAAAATCTGATAATATTTATCTAATATTTTATAAAAGTAAAAAATTTAACAATAACTAAAGCATAATGCTTAACAACATAGTAAGCAAAAAAAAAAAAAAAGTTCTTTAATCATAATATCACAGTTACTAAATTGTATTATCTAACACGTTGAAAAATAAAATTCTTTTATGAAACACACAAAGTAATAAAAACATCAACAAAGGTTTATGTATAAATACTGTTTAGTAAATGTGAGCATTATTTTACTTTTTGCACCTGAACAAAATAACGCAATTTTAATTTTTGTCTAAAAACATTTAATTCAAATATAAAAATTAATATGAAAATTATGAAAACTAAAACTAACCTTTTCTTTTTTTTAGCATGCATAAGAAAATCTTTGAATGAAGTACCTTCTGCTATAAGTTTGTCAAGAGATGTAAAGTTAACAGCATTTTCAACGAACCTTTTGTGATTCTCACCTTGCAAATGCTAAAAGAAGACAGATATTTACTAAATTTTTCACATTTTATTTAAAATCTCTGATACTCTATATTATAAGATATATCTAACTTCTTGGTAATATAGTTTAACAATACATACTTTTTACATTTATTAAATTTATTAAAGGTATTTATTTTATTACTCGCCAATTTTATAAAAATATTGTGCTGCATAACATCACTGCAACATCATGTACAGTGTGCAACATATATTGCTGTTACATCAAAAGGAGCAATTTTTTGATGGTTTAACCTAGTATTCATTCTTAATATTAAATCTCAAAAAAAATAAATATTAAAAGCAAATTTATTTTAATATTAGTAACTACAATAATCAATAAAACTTTTACTAAATATTTATAATCATATAAATATTTACAATCATATGATTATATGAATGATAAACAAACAATTTTAAAATGTTTTCAAAAATAAGGTATTAAAAGAAAAGGTTTATAAAAAATTATAATTATTAAACCATTAAGATAGTTCATGACCAATCACTTTAATGTGGAGAAATGTTGTAATAAGTCTATGGGTTGGTATTAGATCCATTATTGTTTTTGATCTATATAAGCAATTTACCTTAACAAATAATGAACACTATTTTTGTATTTTTGTATTTTTTTTTTTTTTATTTGCATTCACTCCCAACAAGGCTGCAAGCAACCACTAATAAGTTGGGAGTTACTAGGAAAAAAAAGAAGAACAGAGTTATAGAGCAAGGAAACGGTTGACAGAAGACTTAAAAAGTTGAAGGTTGTATGAGTCAGGAAAACATGAAGATGGGAGAGAGTTCCAAAGGATTGAAGTGCGGGGAAAAAAACTAGATGAATAAAAGTTTTTAGAGCATGCAGGGACAGATACATTAAACGAATGAGACTTAGCTGAATGACGAGTAAAACGAGAATGAATTTTAGTTGATGGAACTAGAGATGATAACTCCTTTGAGCAGTGACCATGATAGTATCTATAGAAAAGAGAAAGAGATGCAACTTTACGACGATGGGAAAGAGGTTCAAGCTTAGCAGATAGTCCAGGTCCAACAACATTTACAATGCGTTTTTGGACCTTGTCAAGAAGAGAAAGAGAATCGTTAGAAGAACCAGCCCAAATATGACAACAGTATTCCATACAGGGTCGAATAAGAGATTTGTAGAGGTAGAGAATGGAATCAGAAGTAAGGAAATGGCGAGCACGATAAAGAGAAGCAACCTTAGCAGAAGCTAATTTAGCAATCGATTGTATATATGGTTTCCATGAAAGGTCAGTAGTAAGCGATAATCCAAGAAGACGTAAAGAGGATGACTCAGTAAGAGGATTGCCATTCATTAATATAGGAATGTTGACCATATTACGGTAGTTGTTTGCAGTAAGCAATTGGGTTTTTTTAGAGTTGAAATTCACAAGCCACTGTGAACCCCAATCAATTACTGAAGTGAGATCGGATTCAAGATCAGCTGCTTGTTCTAGGCGATCGAAAAGAGAAGACTTTTTGTCAAGACAGGAGTATAAAGTTGAGTCATCAGCAAAAAGAGCTACTTTAGATGAAAGGTTGTCAGGAAGATCGTTTATGTAGATAAGAAACAAAACAGGGCCCAGGATGGAACCTTGGGGAACCCCAGAAGTTACTGGAAATAAAGAAGAGTGTTGGCCTTCAAGGATGACTTTAATAAACCGGTTAGAAAGAAATGATTTGATAATCTCAAAAACTTTTCCAGAAACACCATATGAAGCAAGCTTATGGAGAAGACCAGCGTGCCAAACTTTGTCGAAAGCTTTAGATATGTCGAGAGCAATAGCCCTAGCCTCACCGCCTCCATCTAATGCACGATAAAATCTTTCAGTTACAGCAGTTAGCAAGTCGACCGTAGAGCGAGAGGATCGAAAACCGTATTGATTGTCTGACAGCAGTTTATTTGACTCAAGATGAGATGTGAGGAATTTGTTGATCAAAGACTCAAAGACCTTGCTAATAACAGAAAGAAGACTGATCGGACGATAATTGGAGGGGTCAGAATTTTCTCCAGAGTTTTTGAATATTGGAACTACAGATGCCATTTTCCAAGAAGCAGGAAAACAAGACTCAGTCAAACACTTGTTAAATAGTTTAGAGAGAATTGAAGAAAGTTCTGGAGAACAATTCTGCAAGACTGTGACAGGAATGTTGTCTGGACCACAAGCTGTAGACGAGTTTAATTGAGATATGACTTTAGCAACAGAAGCCGGAGTGATTTGAATGTCTAACAATGGGTCAACCTGTTTGACTGGAATGGAAGGAAGAGAATGTCCATAAGATTCAAGAGTGGAATTAGAAGAAAAGTTCTTTGCAAATAGTTCTGCCTTATCCCTGGGAGAGGAAACAAGATCAGTCCCATGAATGAGAGATGGAATGTTAGATCTACCCTTGTTAACAATGCTGTTGAAGATTTTCCAAAAGTCTTTAGAGCCTAACTTCTGCGATAAGATGCGAGATTTAGTGAACTGAGAATAATGGAGTTTAGCATCAGAAAGCACCTTTTTACATCGATTTCTTGCAATAATAAATAGCCGTTTGTTCTCAAGAGAGTTGTTCTTTTGAAAAAGATGAAAAAAATGATTACGATTGGATATAGCAGCCGCACAAGAAGGAGAAAACCATGGAGTAGAATGAGGCTTGACTTGAAACCGACGAGAAGGAATAAAAGCTTCCATTCCAGCCTGAATCCAGGAGGTAACGTAGGAGGCGCATTTGTCAGCTGGGAGAGAAAAAACATGAGCCCAGGGACCATCACGAAGAAAATCACGAAAGGAATCCCAGTCAGCTTTAGGGTAGTAGTAGGTGGTGCGATGATAAGGTGAGCCCAAAAAAGAAGTACGAGAAGAAAGATTTATAGAGATCATTGCATGGTCAGAACCACCTAAGGGAGAAAAGGGAGAAACAGAACATAAGCTAGGGTCAGAGACAAGACATAAGTCAAGGAGTGAAGGTAAATGATTAGGGTTGTCAGGAAAACGAGTCACAAAGTTAACTATCTGAGTAAGAGATTGAGAAACGCAGAAGTTAAAGGCTTTAGTGCCAGCAGGATCAGTGGTGTTAGAGCCAAGCCATTCAGTGTGATGGGCATTAAAATCACCAACAACAACAATATTGGCAGAGGGGTAAAGAGAGAGGGCATGGTCAATTTGATCAGAGATAACATCTAAAAGAGTGCAATCATGGGAAGAAGGAGAACGATAAAGAACAAAGAGAAAGGTGATAGAGTGAAGAGGTGCTAGGCGAAAGCACATAAAAGAATGGTCAAAGGATTTGAACCTGATTTCACGACAAATAGGGGAATTAATGCGTATGTATACCCCTAAACCTAGCATGTGACTATTGGAGTCTTTACGAATCAAAGGATAGTACCCATCAACACTGACATCTGAAGAAGGAATTGCAGAATTTAAATTTGTTTCACTGAGTGCCAGCAAGTCTGGTGAATTTTGCAGGAGGTAAGACTCAACTGATGGAAAGTTGCTTCGTAGACCGCGAATATTTGTAAAAGATATATTAAAATATTTAGGTGGTGGGGATGGTTTTTTAGGTTTTAAATTTTTGGTTACTTTGGCCATGATTTGGATTTAATGAGAACTTGACTCATTCATAGATAGAGCACAGCCTCCTAATCAATGAGCTATGCAATTGTCTCAGTCCTGTTAATTAACCCTAAGCCGTGACATAGGGCTCCTTATGTGGCCTTGACAATGCACACCAAAAGCATTAACAGGGACACCATCCATGCGCAACATGGCACTGTTAATACTCTGATATTTTGCAGCTGTTGATGGAATCAGCCTCTCTGAGAGCTACCACAGAGTTCGGGAAACCTTACTACCAGCCGGCCTCAGAACCATTAAACTGAGTTTTAGAGCTGTACCCTCATATGGAGATAACAGGAAGAGTTGCATAGCCATTATCAAGGAGGCATAAGCAAAATTCTATGAGTAGAGTCAAGGAGATCCAGCATTCATCATCCTAGGCAGGAAACAATGTAGCACAGGTTACATCTACGCCAGCCTAATAGATGAAGAAGGGGTTCGAGGCTGGTTAGCAGAATTTTTCTGCTTACCCCTAAAGTCTTTGCCTAGGAGGCCTTCTACAAGACAGTAGCAGGATGCAGTTAACATCTACCCAAGATGAGTATTTTTATCGAGACACCATCTCTAGCCTTTACTCAACCAAGAGCCCCAAGGCAGGGGATGTTTAGCTGGATGCAGTTAACATCTGCCCAAGATGAGTGTTTTTATCGAGACACCATCTCTAGCCTTTACTCAACCAAGAGCCCCAAGGCAGGGGATGTTTAGCTGGATGCAGTTAACATCTGCCCAAGATGAGTGTTTTTATCGAGACACCATCTCTAGCCTTTACTCAACCAAGAGCCCCAAGGCAGGGGAATTTTTAGTCGGAGTTTATTTCTCCTAGCCTTTGTATAAGAAGAGCACACTCTGCAAGGCAGCAGGGTTTGTGGCAGGTGGTACTGGGTTACGTGATACCAGTAGCAAGAATGATCTCGATTATCCTGACCTGACCTGGAGTAGTTAAAAGGAGCTACTTCCCGCAACAGTACTTTGATAAAACCAGGCATGACATTTTGAAGTGCATTAGGAAAAACACTGCATCTAACAAAATACAGGAGTCTAAGGTGAGTGTATGTTTTGTAGTTAGAGTAAGTAGTTAGTTACTGAGCTCACGCTGCATTAGAGTATAAACAGAACACAAACAAACATAAATCAACTTACGGGTGAGTCAACACCGCGCCAGAGGTTCAGACAGAACACAAACATACATAAAAAACATAAAGTAACTTACGGGTGAGCGAACACCGCGCCAGAGGTTCAGACAGAACACAAACATACATAAAAAAACATAAAAAACATAAACATAAACATAAAGTAACTTACGGGTGAGCGAACACCGCGCCAGAGGTTCAGACAGAACACAGACACACATAAAGAACATAAAGTAACTTACGGGTGAGCGAACACCGCGCCAGAGGTTCAGACAGAACACAAACATACATATAACGTAGATTACAGGTGAGCTAATACAGTAACTAAAGCACCTCCAACTATATGGGGAAAAAAAAAAAAAAAAAAAAAAAAAAAATTACTATAGGAATGACTGGTATAAGATAGTACTGATGACAGGAAGAACACTCCTTCCAGCCTTTGCTTAGATAGCAAATCCTGCAAGGCAGCAGAACATGGAACAGGTTGCACTGGGTTACATGTTACCAGTAGCAGGATGATCATGAAGACCATACTCCTGACCTGACACTGATATATTAATATGAAACATGATATATTCTGACACGATATATTAATATGAAACAAAATTTTTTTGTTAATCAAAGTATTTTAATTTTTTTTTTTTAAAATAGAAACCCACAAGCAATTTTAGCAAATTTTAAAAATGAAAAGTATTTATAAAAAGGAAAAAAGCAGTAAACAGCGTAAACATTCACGCCTCCACTTTTCTTCTGCAGCAGACAGCGGCTGCCTCCCAATTAATTTTTAGCTGAAAAATTTTTTATGTTCTGCCTCCGATGGCATTCGCCTTATTGGCATTTGCCTTATTGGCATCCGCCATAATTGTATTTATAATTGTATTTATAATTGTATATAATTGTATTTATAATTGTATTTATAATTGTATTTATAATTGTATGCAGATGATAACAAGCTGTGATTGCTCCTGTTAGTTCTTTAACATTGATATATTAGTAGAATGGATGTATAAATGGAACATGGATTTCAATATTGATCAATGTAAAATAATTTCGATAAACACTATCAAAACTTTGATTATTACATATTACATTAGATTAAGATCAAATTATTAACATTGAAAGAGATTTAAGAATTTTGATATGAAAGAGATTTAAGAACTTTGATATCAGACAAAATGGACTTCTGAAAAGAAATTAAAAAAAAATGGACCATGCAGATCAGAGCTGCATTTTTTAGAGTAATAACAAAATTAGGTAAAAAATTGTTAAAGGTTTCAATTCTAAAACTTTGTTCTTGGTTTTAAATTATTGGTTTTAATTCTAAAACTTGTGACTCTTTCAAAAAGAAATTGAAATTTTATTGCGCATACATAAGACCACATCTCGAATTCACTGTTTAAGTACGAAATTCTTTCTTTAAATATGCAGAGATGTGTTACCTAAAGTTACCTAAAATTAGCCACCTATTATACAAAAAGTTAATCAAACTAAGTTGATACCTAAAATTAGCCACCATTTATATAAAAAGTTAATCAAACTAAATAACTAAAATCAGCCACATACAAACAGTTAAACAAAATTTAACAAAATTGACTGAAAGAAGAAACTGGTGATTTAATTCAATTTTACTAATTTTTCCATCATATTGAAAACATCAAAGTTTTTTGCATCATTATGTTATCTGGACTAGCCACCAATGCAAGGCAAAATTAATTTAAAGGTAGTTTATGCATTCAACAGCTTAAATGCCAAAGTAAAGAACATTTCTTCACAAATCGAATAGTAAAGCATGGAATAGTCTACCGATACCATCAGAGCATCAGCAGTAAATAATTTCAACCATCAGAGTATCAGCAGTAAATAACTTCAACCATCAGAGTATCAGCAGTAAATAATTTCAACCATCAGAGCATCAGCAGTAAATAATTTCAAGAGCAAAATTAAAAATTTATCATCAAATACTTTTCTGAGTTGCCTTACAACTGAACTTTAGCAAACATTATATAACATTTATTTATTATCTAAATTAATAATTACTGAACTATTTAGTTTTAAATTATTATTAACATGGTGTTTAATCTCAACAGCTTTACTTGTTATAATTATTATCATTATATGTTGCTAAAAAGGAGTTATATATTTATTATGTATAACAATATATTTAATATAATAACAATAATATATATATATATATATATATATATATATATATATATATATATATATATATATATATATATATATATATTATGTTAGTGTATTCTACAAATACTCAGTGTGAGTGCTTAATGTTCTTCCTGACATTCTTCCTGATGAAGCTACTGATAAAGAAACATTATATTGAAGAAAACTAAAAATTAGATAAGTGTTTTTACTAATTTATCTATATCTATATCTATATCTATATCTATATCTATATCTATATCTATATATATATATATATATATATATATATATATATATATATATATATATATATATATATATATATATATATATATAGAGAGAGAGAGAGAGAGATATATATATAGATATATAGATATATATATATATATATACATATATATATATATATATAGATATATATATATATATATATATATATATATATATATATATAGATATATATATATATATATATATATATATATATATATATATATATACATATATATATATATATATATATATATATATATATATATATATATATATATATATATATATATATATATATATATATATATACAAGGCTCGAATTAACACAAAAAAATCTAATTGCAAAAAAAATCATTAAATACCACATTTTTTATTAATTATTGTTTCCTGATCTAGCGTACTATTAAAAATTTAAGTATAGTTAAGTTTTCATTTAATTGGTTTTTAAACTGATGTTTTCATTCAATTTTATTATTCTAATTGTTTTCTAATAAAAAGTGAAGCAAAAAAATTTGCTTCAAAAACAAAAAAATACTTTCAAGAAACAAAATATGATTCAAAATGTTTACGAAATTTACGATTTACAAAAAAATTCAACATTTGTCCTTGTTTCTTCAAATTTTTTCAAAATTTTTCCAATTTTTTTTTCAATTTCAAATTTCAATCACAAAATAATTTTATTAAAGAATTTCTAAACGAAAATTCTTTTGTTCAAATAGATTTCTTTTTAAATAAAATTCCTAAAAACAACTTGAGTATTTGAAAAATGTATAATCTTGATATCGCTTTAAATAAAATAAAAATATAAAAAAAATGGTGTTGCGTTTTTTATATTCTATTTGATTTTTGTTAAAATAATTTTTACTTAGAAGCTTATATTATGTGTTAACAACATATAATATTTAAATAGAAACATTTCTATAGCTAACTTTTGTGACTATATTAAGGAAATTAATATAATTGATAAGTTAATATTTGATAAACTGTAAGTTACTGCGGTAACTTAACTGGTTGTTTTGATTTAGTTTATAAGTAAATTTACTGTGATGTACTTTATCCATTCAGTGAATAAAACTTCAAAAGGTTTAGTAAATCATCACTTCAAAAGTTTCAAGGTCATGAAAAACGTTAAAGCAAAAAACATTACTTCTAAGAATTGCCAAAAAAATATGCTAAATTAGAAAAAAAAAAGTAAATAAACAAACAAAAAAAGTAATCGTGCAAGTGTAAAAAGCAATTGCAATTCGCAATTACTTTTTACACTTTTACATTTTTTTGAACTTTAAAATAGTATTATTGACTTGTTGTCATGTTTATTATTTTCAAAAATCTAAATCTAAAATACCTTAGATAAATCATTGTATCGCATATTGCAACAGTCACAATATCCACATTTTTTAGATCGGCACTTATAAGATTCTTTACTCTTGCTTTGTTCTGTAAAATGCACTTTTACAGCTTTTATATCACTAAACAAAAAAAAATCATCATAAAAACAAATAATCACAAAAACAATGTTTTATGAAATAAAGACATTTCTAACTTCTTAGCTTTTGGTTTTCTTAGAACTCTTGAATTTATTAATGTTCTAAATTTAGTATGAAACAAATTAGTCTTGGGAGTAAAAAAAATTAATTCTCTAGCCACTGCCACAATTAACTTCTGAAATAACCAAGGATCATTAGCCGCCAACACACTTTTTATGTGGTAACTTTTAATGGAGAAGGTTTTGTTTTCAAAACTTGTCTCTGCCACAAAAAACAAATATTTTATCAACTTTAACTTCTTGATTTAAAGATTTTCTTTTTATCAAAATTTGATTTTGATAAAAATTCGATTTGGCTTCAACTTTCAGTTATTAATAAAGCTCCACACAAAATCCTCTGAGGGTTACACATAATTCCACATAAAATCCTCTAAGGGTTACTAGGGAGGAAGGATTATAAAAACAATGTTTGTATTATAACTTATAGTGAAATCAAAATTCTGGTTAGAAAGTTACAAATAGTTACATATTTTTCACTTTTTAAAAGTTAATTAATAAAAGACATTTTTTTATAAAAGTTTTTTTTTCAAAGTTAAATTAATAAAAGGCATTTCTTTATAAAAGTTTTCTTTTTTCATTGTTTATTATTTGATTTATTTTTATATTTAATATAAAGTATTGAAGTGTTTTATGTAAAGCCAATTGATTAAAGTAATTAAGTGTTCTATATAAAGCCAATTGAATAAAGTATTTGAGTATCCCTTAGTAACCCCTTATTCAAGAATGTTTATGAAAATGTTTGGTTACAAAATGATAGGTTCAAAAAGGTTTTATACAAAAGATCAATTTTGCGTCTTTAAAAATAATGATGATGCACTCACTTTTCTTAAATGAATAAACAATACCCTAACCAAAAATTTACATAAGTAGAAATAACTGATCAGAAATTGAACTTTATTATTATAATTAATTTTGTAATAATAAATTAAACATTTAAATGTTTTGTAAACATGCACAAATCTTTTATCTTAATTTACTAATATCAATTATAAATTATAGGGTTTTAAAAAGAGTTGTTTCAAAAATAACAGTTTCTTAAAAACAAAAAGAATAAAAAAATCCATAAAAAAAAATTAATAGAATTAACAAGTTGCAAGAAAAATCTATATTAAATATATAAAAAAATATTACAATTAAAGAAAATAGTATATATATATATATAAATATAATAACAATACACTCATATATATTATAAGGTATAAGTTTAAATTTTAGCAATAAAATTTCTTTCAATCATTATTAATTTCTTTATAATAATTTAATATAACTAGTAATAAAATTTTATTAAGTACCTTTCAAGTTCTGCAGTTAACAGTCCTGGATCAGGTTTTTCAGATACTTCTAGCTGCTTTGTATTTGGCAATTCAAAAGGACATTGATAAAGATATGTTTTATAATAAATTTTAGGCCATTGCTTCATTTGATAAACTAGCGGGCGAAAACATCTATGTGATATTTGTAAAAATTTCTAACCTTTTTACATTTAAATACACACACGCACGTACACACACACACACACACACACACACACACACACACACACACACACACACACACACACACACACATATATATATATATATATATATATATATATATATATATATATATATATATGTATAAATAAGAAAACATCAAATAATACAAAAAATATCAAATAATATTTTTAATACCAGTAATACAAGAAATTTTAGATCACAATAATTAGGAAAAAATTGGGAAAAAAATTCAATCTAAGATCCTACTTCTTGTTAATTAAAATTAAGTATGATAGTATATAATAAAGTAATCACATCCCAACTCAGATGTATGGTCTAAAGCTCACAAACATGAAAAAAATCCTATCTTATGAGAATAGTTATACCAACTATTGGGACTCCTAATTATAGAACATGTAACTAATTAGTAGAGAAAATTCAACCTGTCTTAAATAAAAATAAATCATACTTGAAAACTTTTAATTTTATTAGCTAATTCATGAGATATTGACAAAAACAAGATTCAAATTTCATTTGATGTCGAGGAGAAGGGGGCAGCTTTGAAAAAATGTGTTTATGAAGTGTGCATATATTTAAATTAAGTAAAAAAAAATTACATAGTAAAGACAACACTTATCTTTGATGAACTACAGGACAAAAAAAGTATAAATTAAAAGTAAATTCTAAACATTTTGATAAAAAGACTTTCCCAAACACATTTTTACAAAATGTTAAACATGCTATTTAGCGTTTAGAACATTGCTTTTTAAATAATATTTTTTTCTCTGAAAAATAAGCATTTAATTTTTTAACCCCATTGGGGCAGTTTTGAAAACGTAAATGGCCACCTTTGATTCTTATTTTAAAGGTTTTTGAAATTTTACCTTAATCCTGGCACAAAAAAATCCAAACGGTTTAACTAATCTATACAAATAAGACTATTATGATGCACACTATTACAACTCTTGGAATTAGAATCAGCATTCAGCAAACTGACTTAACTGCCAACCTAACAGTGTTTTTATGATAACCTTTTTGTGTCAAATTTTTTTTTGCCGACCTAATGCCAACCTCTACTGTTAGAGTTTGAGGTCAAAAATAAATTTCTGACCTCAAACTCTAACAGTTTGAGGTCAGAAATTTATTGCCGTCCTCATTTTTCCTAAATCCAAAGGTTGCTTTTATGATGTTACGGCTTCTTACATAACTAAAAAGATAAGAGGATTTATGTCATCAGAAAAAAAATAGTGAATACCTCACCATATAAGAAGTCGTAAAGCAGCATGATAAGCCACTGTGTTACGGCTAAGCCACTTTGTTACTTTAATGCAGTGGCTTAGCAGCATGCTAAGCCACTGCATTAAAAGTATAATATGTGGCAATGGAAATTCGTATGTAGTAAAAAAATAAACATGTTCTAAGAAAAAAAAAATACTTAAATCTGAATTATTTTTATATATTAGTAATGTTTCAAAACTGCCCTATGCAAATTCAAAGCTACCCCAGGTTGGTTTTAGGTTTGGTACCCCAGGGTTGGGGCAGATCTGATTAGTTTGGTGCTGTGAAATGAGACTTTATTTTCATAAATAATTCACCAAGCATAATAAATGAGAAACAAGACAATTTATAGAACTTTGTTGACAGTTGTTATTTCTTGTAGAACAAAGAGATTCATGAATTAAAGAACTCCAGTTCTATAGTGATAGATATTTGTGGTCGTCCTAGCAGAATCTTTTCTACAATATCATGAAGACAACACTTTCAAATTAAATCTTCTTCTTGGTTTAAAAAACTAAACCTCAAAATATTCTCATAAAGAACAAAAAATTCAATCAGACTTTGAAAACCTCCTTGCTGTATTGCTTCTGTGGATACCATCACTATCCCAAAAATTTTGAAATATACTACAATAAATTGCTAACATCTAAAAAAAAATCTAAATTGCTAATCAATAGTCAACCCAGAACTTAATTAATTGAATGTAAATGCACAAAAAGATATGTAAGCAAAACAAAACAACAAATTAGAACTTGAACTCAGCAGCATCTAAAAAGTATAAATGAGGGGAAAAACTAGTCTGGAGCAACCACCCACAGTAAGTTTTGCTCAGAAGAAATGAAATGAGAGAATGTTAAACTCTTAAAATGGAAGTACAAAAATTCAACTGAAAAGTGTGTGAAGCTCTTGAAATACAGAGGGGTCAATATTGCCTTTAAATAATTTAAAAAAATTTAAATTGCAAAATTTGTCTTGACAATGTGCATTATGTTAAAAATTTTTTCTGTTTTTTACATTTTTGTGTAAAAAAGAAAGAAGCCATTCAACTGCTAATGTTAGTAAATTTTTTCTTAATCTTAAAAAATCTTATCTTATTCTTATCTCGATCTTAAAAAAAATTGAGGTCGGCAAATTATTGCTAAATTCATTTTTCTAAATTTTGAGGGTTGTATATATACTGATTTTTAGAGATCACTATTTGACTTTTTTTGGAGATCATCATTTGAGTAAATAAAAAAGCATATAAACTGCATGATGTATTTTTTTTTTTTACTTTTTGATCTTATTTCTCACTTTTTAAAACTTTATTGAATCCATTAATAAATTATAGTAGTTTTAATTTAAGAAATAGTTGAAAAAATTGACAACTTATATAGGGTTATTTCTATATAAATACTTTGAACAAGATTCAAACCATAAATAAAAACTGCTTAAAAAAATAATCACTCATTATTAAATAATTTTTATTAATTATTAAATAAACACTACATTATTCACTCATTATTAAATAATATTATCTACAAAACACATCGAGTAAAATCAAATTATCAGATTTTTTTGGTAATGAATATTTTGCTCAGTGCTTACTAAAAAAAGTCTTGCTTTTTTTTTAAAACACTTTATTTTTGATTCTTAAATAATTATACTTATTTTAGATCTTATTAACCAAAATCATTGATTTTCATAAAATCATTGATTTTCATAAATAAAATCTAAAATGATTTGTAATATATAAATCCAGTCCTTAAACATTCTGTAAGAATTAAAATTTTCCAGTTTTCACAATTAATGAAGCTTACTTTTGACCTATACCTATATAAGTTAGGAGTTGAAGAGCTTCAGACAAAATATTCTTGTCAGCTATGGAGAAACAAAGATTTGAATCAAGCTGAGGACTAAGAAGGCAAAATGAAAAATGAAAAATTTTTTTATAGCAAAAAATCTTTCATGAGCTCCAATCTTTTTGAAATAAAAGCATGTGGCAAATCTACATAAATTAACAACCAGGAGGCAAGTACTGTTTTTTTTTAAAATTTCAATCTCATTATTAATCTTGGAGTTCATTATTTTAAATGTCGTATTTTAATTTTTAAAGAATATTTTATTTTTAAGACAGCTTTACTTGTTCTTTTAAAATTTAACAATTTTTGACTTTTTCTTTGCAACAATTAAAAATCTACTTTTCACTTTTGATCAAAATTCACTTTCTAAAGCTTCCGTTATTTTATTGCAAATCTTTTTTTAATGTTTTTTTTTTCAGTACAAAAATAGACAGGACAGCATATAACATATATATAAGGATAAAAACTTTCAAGTAAATACTCAGCTCAGATCAAGGTACTCATACATCATACTCAGATACATACTCATACTCAGATACATCAAGGTATTTTTTTTTTAATAATAACGTATTTTATATAAAAAATACCTTTTTATTGCTTCCTTATCCTCAAGCTTTTGATGGTTTTTAGATAAGAAAAACATTTTTTGATCTTGTTTGATACATAAACCTTAACTATTTTTTTAAACAGTCTATAGTAAACATATAGACCATATAGATAGTTATAGACAAAATTTTTATCACATGGCATTCTCTAAGTGACTTCTATATGTCATATATTAAATGTTATATATTGAGTTGTTTACAATAACAATCAAGTAAAATACGATTGTATAAAAAAATGTTTTATTAAAGTAAGTGTTGTTAACAATTGACAAAAATTCTTGCGTTTTCCTCTATGGACTCATCACAAAGAAAGACACCCGAAAGCAAACAATAACCTTTAAAAATAAAAAATATATGTATACTTAATGTTACCTAGACTTGTCTTCCAACTTGAAAAAAGTTTCCTTTAATCTTGTCACTAAAGAAAATTTAATTATTAGATAAAGCTATCAGTTTATACATTATTCAGCTGATTATTTTAACGAATGAACATTAGTAACGATATGATCAGTGAATATTGAACCCAGCACCATTTATCATTATTTGTGTTTTAAAATAAAAGAAGTAATTAAACATAAATATTTACTAAATAATAAAGACAATAGAAAAAAGAAACAATTTAAGTTTTAATAAGAACATACTTTAGATTTAATGTGAACAACCACCAAACCGAGTTTCAAAAAAAAAAAAAAAAAAAAAAAAAAAAAAAACAGTAACAAACCTTGATTATCTGTTGCGCTCTTTTTAAATCGACTAGAAGAGAGCTAAGAGCAATCAAAATTTCTTAATTTAAACAGATTTAAAAACTTAAAATATTAACACTAACCAAAAAATAAAAAAAAGTTTAAACAACAATATAAAAAATCCTTTGGTTTTTTTTTTTTTAATTTTCACTTTGTTGTTGTTGTTGTTGTTGTAATGCGCTGTTCATAGTTAAATTTTCAATTTGATTACTTATCAGTAATGTTTCAATAATAATATTTTAATTCAGTTCAATGTGTTTTATTTTATTCTCATCTTAATGTTTTCTGTAAAACTAAATTTAATTTATCAATACAACTTTGTGTAAAACACTAAAGACTTATAAAGACATACTAGATACAGGATTTAAAATGTCATTTTTCAAGACATTTTAATGTTATATTTAAGTTGTGTACTTAAATTATACTAGTTTACTTAAGTTTACATTAACTAGAAAAACTACATATTAAAAAAATATACATAATAAAACTTATAATTATAACTATATTTGGAAAGCAATTAATATAAAGCATAATCTATTTAAAAAAATTTCAATGCAATATTTTAAAATTTACGTAGTTTTAAATAAAATGCGTTAAATGAATTATTAATTGCAATAATAATAGTTATGAACTCAACTTGTTTTTTTGCGCAGCGGCATTGTTCTTCAAGGTTAGTGTAGTTAGTGTAGGTGTAGTGATAAGGCAAATTTAGCCTGGGTCATCCAGATTTTATTTATATAACACGTCATTGTATTCTTTTTTGTTAATGACAAATACAAAAAAAAAAAAAAAAAGGTTCATGTTTTAGAAGTAAAAAGTTGAGAGAGGGTTGTAGCCGCAATAAAGTAGCTTCCTCAACTGAAGTGGCCTTCTCAGCCTTAGGGAACTATTAAAAAAAAATTTATATGGAGTTATTAACCATATAATTTTATCAGCAATATTATAAATAATCTATTTGCCCCATGAAAAGTTATAAAAACTTGTTCAATAAAGTCTATGAAAAAGTGTTCAATAAAATCCATGAAAAATTGTGTTGAATAAAATAGATTGTATAAAATTGGTTTAGGACTTTTAACATTTCAGATACTCGAAAAATGAAATTAATTCTTGACCGCAAAAATGAAATCTATTTTTGACCACAACAGATCTATCCTCCCCCCCCCCTTTCTTCTTAAAACAAAATATTACAAAAAAAAAATTATATTGTAAACAAAATAATCAAGTTTAATTTAGAAAAAGTGAACTGTTTCATATAAATATTTTCTCTACAATATTAATTTTTGGTTAATTATTTAGGAAATTTGATTATTAAAAAAGCACTGTGAAAATTACCATTTTGTGTGATTTTTTGCTATCTTTTTCTTTTTTTGATTTTCTTAAATAGCATTGTGTAAAATCTAAAAAAAAAAGCTGTGTAAAAAAACTGAAAATAAACATCACTACAGTGTGTAGTGTAGTTATGTTTATAAAGTTTTAAAAAACACCTTCAATGGATATCACTTGCACTCCTAGCTGAATTGCTTTTCCAATGATATCATTGGATCCATAACTATGTTTCTATAAAAAAATAAAACTTTCTTTTAATTATGGTTCAAAAAAGTTGTAAAAAGAAAATCAAAACAACATAAATGCAACAACATTTTTAAAAAAATATATATTTTTTAGCTTGAATTATAAAAAAGTTTAAAAAATTAATAAATTAATATTATTTGTGAAAAACAATTAAACAATCTGTATTTGAATATTTTTAAATTTTCTAAAATTTTTTTTTTTTAATCGAAAATGTGTCAATCTTTTTTTTTAAATTAACTCTTTAACAGTCCATGCCGTATTATTATCCAAACTTAAAGTGGTTTCCAAATTTTCATGCTGCAATTCTACGCAAACTAAAAGTAATTTACAAATGTCCGTGCCATAATATTATCGTTTTATGCATCTTCTTTTTCATATTTTCATCTTGTTCATCAGCAATTATACGTCTACTTGTCACAAAATTTATTACTAAATAATTACAGAGCTTTTGTTTCAATAATTCACTTTTAAACATGTTCAATTTAACTTTAAATATGACAAATAACTTTCAGTGCAAAAATAATTATCAAAAAGTAAATATTTACTTACAAAAAGATAGAAAATTATATATTTGATGAATCAATAATGAAAAGATATATTTGATGAATGATTATTAAAAATGATAGTAAAGGATTAATGATCAAAGAAGGTGTACGATATGTTACAAACACAATATTCAATAAAAAGATTTAAGATATAAATGTATAGAATTTGATGTAGGACTTTGTGCAGCTCCATTCTTTTCCAATTATCATAAAAAAGTGAATATTAGTGAATAAATTTTCAAAATTTTGTGTTTATGTAGTATGATTTATATATTCTTAAACTTATAGTAATAGTAATAGTAATATATTTAAATAAGTCTTTATAGATTACATGACAAATAAATAAAAAAAACAATCCAATAAACAGATTAAAAAACAAAAGCATTTTTTTTTTTTAATTATTATTATTATTATTATTATTATTTTTATTTATTATTATTATTTTTTTTTTTTTTAATTTTATTTTATTTTATTTTATTTTTTTTTTCTTATTTTTTTATTTTTTTTTTGGTTTTATTTAATTACAGTTTACGTTTATGACAAATGTACCTAAAAAGTACATATTTGTATATGTACAAAAATGTACCTAAAAGTACATATTTGTAGCTGCTAAAGCACAAATTAATTAAATTAAACGTGCAGCTCATCTTCAGTAAAAGATGCACTGTTTGCAGCTGAGGAAAATACTTGTCAATTCTACTTTTGAATGCGTTAATTGATGGAGCCTTTTTGCATGACAACGATAAATAATTCCAATCATTCACAATACAATTTGTAAAGAAATTATGTAGAGCATTATTGTAAGTGAAACCATGCATTAGTATGTTGGATGGTGATCTGCGAAGAGGTGGATTATGCCAATTAATAATTTCAAAACCGTTTTCAAGTTTAAACTGTTGGATCAAGTCGCCGCGTTGCCTGCGAGTTTCCAAAGAAGTAAAACTGAGACGCCGACACCTTTCAGCATAAGGTAAACTTGTTAAATCATGAGAAATTTTTGTTGCTTTGTGCTGAATTTTTTCAATTTCTTTGATGTCGCTCTTTAAGTAAAGACACCATACCGGAACAGCAAATTCCAGGTGCGGCCTAACATATGTAGTATATAGTTTACCCCAAAGCCTAATATCTCTTGATCTAAATTTTTTTTTTAGTAGGCTAAGTATCATATTTGCTCTACGTGTCGCAACCTGTATGTGTTGAATTCATTTTAGTCGTTAGATAAATAGATATCCAGGTCTCTTTCAATATCCGTTGCCGCTATAATAAGAGATGTATTACCATCATTCATTACATACTCATTATTTATATTTCCATGACCAAGGTGCATAACTTTACACTTTGCAACATTTAATTCCATAAGCCATTCTTTTGACCACTCTGAGATAATGTTTAAATCAATTTGAAGAATCAGACAATCAGCATCGTGAAACTCAGGTCTTATTTCTTGCAACAGTTTAGTGTCATCAGCATAGATTTTATGAACTGATTTTAAATTATACGTTAAGTCATTTATGTAGATAATGAATAATGTTGGACCAAGTACAGACCCTTGTGGAACTCAGCTTAAAACATCGGTCCAGTCGCTAAAGTGATTACTTAAAACTGTTCATTATTTTCTGCTAGTCAAAAATGACTCAATCCATTTGCCAACATTACCATTGATCCCATATGCCTTCAATTTATGTAGTAGTCTACGATGAGAAACTTTATCAAACGCTTTTGCAAAGTCCAAAAATGCAATATCGACAAAATTTCTTTTGCTTAACGCTTTTGTAATGTAGTCGACACTTTCCAATAAGTTAGACGTGCATCCCTTTTTGGACATTAATCCATGTTGATTGTTTGAGATGCAGCTCGTTTTTTCAAGATATTTAGTTATCTGTTCCTTGAGAATCTTTTTCATTACTTTACATGGAACTGAAGTGATAGACACTGGTCTGTAATTAGCAGCATCAAGACGACTTTTTTAAACAACGGTGTAACATGTGACTGCTTCCAGGCTGAAGGTGTTGAGCCTTCAGACAGTGCTTTATTGAAAATTAATGTTAGAGGGTAAGTCATTTGAGCTGCACATTCTTTAAGTACCTTTGGACTAATATTATCAACACCAATACATTTGTTCAGGTTCAACCATTCAAATAGGCTAGCGTTGCTTCAAAACTTATTACTACATCGCCTAAGTCTTCTTGATTATGTCTTCTCTCAAACTTGAATAATAATATTTTGTAGTGTTTAATAATTTTAAAAATAGTAAAAAACATTTTTTTATTCTATTAGAAAAAAAACAGGGTGATTTTACTACTTCAAAAAAAACTGAACTATTACCATATTAAAAACAACAACACGGGACTGTTAAAGGGTTAACAAATTTCAAAACTAAAATAATTTAATTATAAACCAGAAAAATCATTTTAAAAAATTATTTTATTTTTATTAACTTTCCACAATCATTTTTTAACTCCCTGATTTTTTAACAAACCATACTATTTTGTTATTTGTATTAATAAAGTAATTATGTATCATTTTTCATTTAGATTAATAATTTTCCTGACAATTTTACAACTAAAAAAGTTAAAAAATTTTCCCTAAAAGAAAAAAAAAAAAAAAACTTTTACTGTAGGTAACACTTTGTTTAGAGCCATCTTTCCTCGAGTGATAGATATCTTTAAAAGAAATAAATACAATAGACTAATATATAACTTATTTATTTCACATATATTACACTTATTTATTTCATATCTCACGTGTAATAAAAGTTAATGAACAATGTAATATAGAATTATTAATAAAAAAATTTAAAGATGTTATAAAATAAAAAAAAATATAGTAAAAAATTAAACCTTTTATAAATAGCAAATTTAATTTTTGAATGAAAAAAATTCCAAGACGGTTCCACAATCATAATAACAATAAAATTAAAAATCAAAACTTACATTGCTGTTCTTCAATTTCACAGCATCATTGCTAAAATGTTTACAAACAAAAAATTGCTAAAATATTTACAAACATTTTTGAGATAGTAAAACATTTTTACAACTTTAAAAATAGAGTGATAAAATACCTGAGTTGAGGAGAGTCTGAACTAAATGGTGAAGGTTGCTGTAAGATTGCACGTTTGCTTGAAATACTAAAGAAAATTTTAATTATAAAAATTTTTAACAAAATTACTAGAAAATAGAAAGTTAATAAAACAGAAACTGAAAGATTTTTTCTTTTTAATTTCTGTTTTAATCTTGTTTTTATGAAAATATTAAATGTTCACAACACAAATCATATGACCAATCAATAGCTTAAAATAAAACAGATTGTAACTAGTTCCTCTTTTAACTTTCAAGAATTTTTTCAAGTGCAATAATTGAGTTCGTTTGTTTTGAGAGTAGCATGAGGAGGTTTCTTGTTTTAACTTGCAAGTAAACTGAGTATTATCTAAAAAAAGAATTTTTTTTCAAATATTTATTCACTTACACTTGCATCAAGCTGGGCCGATTAGATATTGGGGTATTTCCAACAAACTTAGGGCTACCAATGTTTCCCGTTGTTTGACTGGTTATAACAACTTTAATATCTTTGCTTAAAAACTCTTCAACTTCCTTAAAAATAAAAAAATAATAAAAAATAAACAACTGCTTGTAAAAGTATACTTTTGTATATATTAAGAGAAGGAAAAGTATGCCAAAAACCAAGTAAAAAGAAAAGGAGTAAACATTTTTTTACTAATAACATAGAATGCAATATCAGGCAAAAACACATACTCCTCCAAGGCTTAAAATCTGACGACGAATTTCAGTTGACTTAGCTTGAGCAACATCTAAATAAAACTTGTAACCAGACAGCAAATTCTTCCATTTTTCTTCCTTTATAACACGCTGTGTATTTTCTTGTACTAGCAAATTAAAGAATTTATATTTTTTTATACAATTATAAACAAGATATTAATTTAATTACTAAAAATAACATGTATAACATAAAAAATGTATATTTAATAATTTATGAAATAAATTTATAAGAAGCAAAGAAAAACTAATGAGGCATTAAAAATATCTTCGAACATTCAATTTGTGAAAGAAGTTATATACAGCAACTAACTGTAAATTTGAGAGAAAAAACAAACTTTTAAAATGCTTAAATACTAAATTGGCATTTTTATATTTAAAACCACCACTTATAAATAAAAGGTTTCTAAACATGCTGCAAATTTTGATACAGGGCATAACAAACTTCATCTAGTAAACACATCTCCTTATTTAAACAGCATATTGGTATAACTTTGCAAATGGTTTATGAACTATCATCACTAGACTTTTACAATTTGGTTAAAATAAGTTATATACTACTATTAGAAGTATGAGCAAAAAATTCTTAATACCTTCATTTTTGTTAAATATAAACACATTTTTACTATATGTTTATTACGTCTTATTAAAAGTAAGTATAATCAGAGATATATAAAATCATGATCTTTATTTTATACTTATGTCTTAATAATTTATATGGGTTTTGAATACAACAAAACCAAACATATTTTGTGCTTCATTATCTAATAATATTTTTATATTCTTAAAAATTCAACTCAAAAAGAAGTATTAAACAAATATTGTTCAATAAGCATGGAGCAGGTGTATATAAACAATATAGTAATATTATAATAGTATTAGATTGCTTTCCAAGCTATTAAGTAGTACTAAGTTGAATTCCTACCAATTACTTGAATAGTATCACCCTTAACTTGCATAACTGTAACTCGTTTTTAAATTGAACATTTTTGCATTTATCTTAATTTCATATCTTTCTATTTTTGAAAAAATAAGTTAAAAAAACAAACAAAACAGTTTGGCAATTTTTGCTCTTTAAGACTCAAAGTGTTAGAAATCAGTGCTTTTCAAGCCTGCATGACTTTTTGCCAGTGTGTGCAACTAAACACTAATAATTTTTAGAGAAAAATTTTATTTTGAAAGAACTCTCCTTCATAATTACCTATAAAACATAAATAAATCAGTCATATTTTGAACATTAGAATAGAATTTATATAATTTATTACATTTTTTAGATTTTAATTTCATTTTTGCTTTTGATTACATTTTCTAGGACTTCTTCTTAACTTTTAGTTCTTAAATTTTTTTAAAATTTTAGTTCTTAAAAACACTCCTTACATAGTTACATAACAAAACACAAACAAATTTGCTATATTTAACATAAATACAAAACTTATAAGTTTTTATTACATTTTCGAGGACTTCTTCTTAACTTTTCACTTCTTCCAACTTTAAAAGCAATTGAAGGAACATCCAATCGTCTTGATGTTAAGTTACGCATTTTCTTATGCATGTGTTTTTCAATACATATTGAGGTAAGCTTGAGAAGAAAAAAAACGAAATAATATATATATATATATATATATATATATATATATATATATATATATATATATATATATATATTTATGTATACATATATATACATATATATATATGTATATATGTATACATATATGTATATATATATATATATATATATATGTATATATGTATACATATATATGTATGTATGTATACATATATGTATATATCTATACATATATATATATATATATATATATATATATATATATATATATATATATATATATATATATATATATATATATATATATATATATATATATATATATATATATATATATTCTTAAAATATAGTATTTTTCTAATAAAATGTGGCTCTATGAAATCAGCAATGCTATATCAAACAACAGTATCAAACAAAGATAATTTTTTATCTATATACACTTTAACTTATGTTTAAAATGAAAATAAAGAGCTTAGTTTCAGAAGATTTTTTAAGAAGTTTCTTTATTTTTGATCATTTGTGATAAAAAAAAAAAACAATTTTATAAGAATTTTGATAATTTGTTGTATTGATAACATTGTGTTATGCCATTGGCAATACTACTCAAGCAGTGGAAGAGGAGCCACCAATAAAAAAGTTTACTGATTTTATCTATATAAATTATAAAGTGATTGTAATTATAAAGGCAAAGTTGTTCAACTGTTATTGAGTTTAAATAATAATAATAATAAATAATAACAATAATATTTTTATAAAAATGATTTTTACTAATTATCAAAGTGAAGAAACTTTACTACTAAAACTAATCTCTTTGTTTTCATTTTTAACATAAAATAAGATGCAAATGGATAACAAGTTGTTTTTATTTGATACTGTTTTTATTTTTAAAAATTTTACACAAAATTCGGCGTAACGTTAACTTTTTAAAAGTTCCCACTATTTTTTTTTTTTTAATCACAAAGGTTCATTTTGTTTATAATTTTCGGCGATTATTTCCAACTGTTAAATTTGCTGACTTAAAGCTGTTGGGGAGATTGAATTGGATCTGTTCCGATAAATAATTATATAAACCGTTGCATAGAATAGTTAAAAATAATATACTTCAGTATGAGTATTGATGTGTTTGATGACGTCATAGTGTGTTGGTGATGTTAATATAAATCGAATAGATTTAAAAAAAAAAAAAATTGAATTGAACATTTCTTGCATTAAAATTGTAGAAAATAAAATCAGAGTGGGGTGTTCTTGTTGATAATTAGCCCTTGTTCTAATATAGTTTTTTTTTTAAGTATATATTGTGTTTGCATCTTTACCATGCAAGCGATCATAGGTGGTATCACCGAATCCCAATCCAGCCCAACGATCGCCAAGCAGTTATAGTTGGGTGTTCCTACGCCAGAGGTTATGCAGCACTATTCCTTTTTTTTTTTTTTTTTTTTTTTTGAATATACATAGACTGCAATCACACACACACCCATACTAACAGCACATATACACCCATAAATATACCAATATACATACATAAATACATACAATTTTTAGAAAACCGTGTTATAAAAACCGTAATAAAATTTTTTTGTTTTTTGTTTTTTCAAATACTAAATAAAAGATAAAATAAACCTGAAAATTTATACATACTAGCAATATATAATATAAAGCAATATACGATACGAACTCAAATAATAAATATTTATACATATATTCATAGCTATCAGTTTCAGTACAATCTCAATGTAACTATATACTTAGGTAAACTTAGTTTTAATAATAGGTAGACAAACCCATAACACTAGTAATATAGAAAAACGTTCTCCATAGAAAGAATTAGATTTTTAAGCTTAGTTTTGAAAATAGAAAAAGAGGAAGGTAGATCAAAATTTTGCAAAATAACTTTATTCCAAAGATTAGGTGCACGATAATCAATACAAAGCTGATTAAACTTGATTTAGCAAATCATTATTTCTCAGTGCATACTTATTGTCTGGTTTCAAAGGTAAAAATATTTTTAAAAACGTCAGGAGATAAGTTATTTTCAAAAACATAGAGTATTATATAAATTCACTTCGTAAATATTAAGTAAATATTAAGATTGCTCTTATAATAGACCTCTCAGATGAGACAAGCCCCTATAAAATCTCTTGCTTATAAAACAATTGTTAAACTTTCAAAGAAAAAAAAATCCTTAATATTTTTTAGTAAATCAGTATTTGAAAAGACTACTTTTGAAATTGTAAATATTAAAAACAACTAATTTTGTTGCGTGAAATAATATTTTCTAACACTTTAACGCGTTTTCTTGTAATTTGCATAATTAATAGGAGAATTGAAAATTAATTTACTTTTCAAACTGCAAAATAATAGTACACTCTAAACGGGTTAAAACGGGGTCCGGGGTCCGTTTCATCCGTACTGTTATTAAAATTTTATATCTAAATTTTGATAAGCAATTTTCGAATAGTATTTTTAGCAAAATGTTAATAAGCAGTATTGTAAAGATAGTCACAGAAAAATAAGTTAACTAAAAAAATTAAAAAATAATAAAAACTTTAGTACTAATGACAACCGCGAAGACTATTTTCGATTTTGCTACAATACTTTCTTTCGCTCAGTAACGCGAGAGGTATAGACACATTTTGTGTCAATAGAATTTACTCCGAGTCAGTTTTTAATATGATTAATGAGCAGATGATTGCTTATTATCAACATATTTGTAACTGTCAATTCTCTTAATCGCTTAATTAATTCCAACTGCACTCGTGTTTTCTTAGTCGATTTCGTAACATTCCTGAAAACAAGCAGCTTATACGAGTTTCCATTGCAGCTTGCTATTTGGGTTCATCAATTAAGACAACCCAATCCACCTCTAAAATTATCCTGGATTTTATTATTTAAAAATCTTTGAAAGTCTTTTTCTTGTTATACGATAAAATGTATATGTAAATAATAATGTAGTAATAACAGTAATAGTAATATATTTAAATAAGTCTTTTAAGATAACACGAAAAATAATTAAAAAAAACGAAACCAAAAAGTTAAACAAAAATTTATGGTTTGTAAAATATAAACTTTGAGTAAAAACAAAAAGTATATGTTATTTCATAGCAAGTTAGTTGATATCAAAATTGAGAAAAAGAAAAAAAAGATTGCTTTCATTTAATTAAAGTTTACGTTTATAACTCGTTTATAAATCGTTACGTTTATAAATCATTTCTTGAAAGTCTATATTTGTAGCTGCTAAAAAACGAATTGAATAATGAACGTGCAGTTTCAGTAAAAAATGTAGTTTGCAGCTGTAGAAAAAAAATACTCAACAACTCTAATCTTAAATGCATTAACTGACGGAGCCATTTTTGCAAGCAAACGTCAAGTTATTGGATCAAGTCGCCACGTCTCCTGCGAGTTTCCAAAGTAGTAAATTGAGACACCAATACCTTTCAGCATAAGGAGACCCTATTAAATTATGAGGTACATTTGTTGCTATATGCTGAACTTTTTCAATTTCTTTGATGTCATATTTTAAATAAGGACATCATACCGGAACAGCGAATTCCAGATGCGGCATAACATACGTAGTGTATAGTTTACTCCAAAGCTTCATCTCTTGATCTAAATGTTTTTTTAAATAGGCCCAGTAGCATATTCGTTTTACGTATTGCAACTTGTATTTGTTGATTCCATTTTCTGTCATGAAATATAAAGATACCCAGGCTTCTCTCAATATTCGTTGTCTCAAGAATAAGGAATGTATTTCAATAATTCACTAAATATTCATTACTATTTCCATAACAAAGGTGCCTTTACATTTTGCAACATTCAATTCCATTAGCCATTCCTTTGACCATTCTGTGACAATGTTTCAATCGTTTTAAAGAATCAAACAATCGACATCGTGAAACTCAGGTTTTATTTCTTGTAACAGTTTAGAGTCGTAAGCATAGATTTTATGAACTGGTTTTATCTTATCCGTCATTTATATAGATGATGAAAAATGTTAGACCACGTACAAATCCTAGTGGAGCTCTGCTCAGAACATCAGTCCAATTGCTAGAGTGTTTATCTAAAACAGTTAAATGACTCAATCTATTTAAGAACATTAGAATTAATCGCATATGCTTTTAATCTATGAAGCAGTCTTCGGTGAGAAACTTAATCAAATGTTTTCGCAAAGTCCAAAAATGTAGTATCAACAAAACTTCTTTTACCAATAGATACATGAACATTCTGTTATACTGTTATTTATTTTGTTTATTTTTTTAATTAATTTTTATTATTAATGTTCTCAGGTAATTATTCCTAATAAGTTGCGGCTTGTCTAAATAATTTTGGTCTGAAACTTAATAAAGAAAAAAACTTGATAAAACTGTCCTGCTACTGCAGAAGGTGCTGCTGTGGAGGCGATAAAAAAAAAAGAAAGGAAATCCCATAGCTAGGAAAATTTTTAAAATTTTATTTTATCAACTGAAAGTCTTTCATGCTATATATATTTATTTTTTTATGTAAATATATAGGCATAATTAAAAAATTTCAAAGTTCATTACACGAAGGGGAGGGGTCTTGAACCCCTCCGAAACAACATAATGACAGTGCACTAAACCACTGAGCTATCGATGATATACATTTAGGAGAAAAAAACCCTAATTATAAATCTTTTATATTATAAACGATTTGAAAAGTTGCTGAAAATTCTGAAAAAAAAAATAGCAAAAAAAAATTAACTTGCGCACCTTCTTCGCGTACGTAGACCTTATAGTAATTTTATAAAGCTTATAAGTTATAAGCTTTATGTATGTAAAAAAGGTGTGCAAGTCTTTTTTTTTAGAAGTTTCAGTAAATTTTCAGAATGAATTATTTTTCTGAAATGTATTTTAGTAAATAAGAAATAACTATAGAAAAGGTTTGGAATAGATACGGAAACATAGTATTTGATGCTATATAAAGATCGTTTACATAGATTAAAAACAGTAGAGGAAATAAAATAAAGCCTCGTAGAAATCCACATGATACCTTG